GGAAGATTAATGTTGTGGCTCAGTTGTGTGATCTACCCTCTACAACTCACGACTACAACTCCTTTATTGTGGATGTGGATCACTCCTCTGTAAGTCTTAGTCCTAGTGTAGATATAACTCCATCCTGATTCATTTCGACAGTTTAAGAGCTCCACATACATGTTATTTGTTAAGGTTATTATTTTAAATTTTAAACACATTGGAAACAAGTGTTAAAGGAAATGTATGTATATTCAGGGTTCATCAGAAATGCTTGTACATTTTCAATGCCTTAACACATCTTATTAAGTTCTTGTAAGCAAGTGTAGAAGGAAACTATACTTCAAATCACTACTTAAATGTGGAATGTTATCATTTCAGGCAAACCTCAGAAGTTTTGTCGTAGAAGGAGTGTTCAAAGAGAGTAAGTTGTCATGTCATGATGTGTTGAAGATAAAATGCTTTTAATTAAACTGAAATTAGAATTTAAAAAAAAAATGCAATTTAGTTCCTGTTAATTAACAGATGAGAAATTAGATTTGAAAAATTGAAATTGGATTCTAGTTTTGTTTTCTTTTAGCTGAAAGCAAGTCGGATAGACCTCCCATTAGAGCATTTTTAACTCGTCGGTTTATTACAGTTCCACAGGGGCAGGGTATGTATAATCATACTGAAAATAGATGAGAATGAAACAATTGTTGAAACCAAACATATAGGTACATATTTGTGGGAACAGTCACTGGAATTGTACATATTTTAGTAGGAGTCATATTTCAGCAATCAATAGAAAGCACTTCTACAGCTGTATATAGGAATACATTTTGAAGTTTCATTTTAAAACTTATGTTGTTAAGAGTATTTGTTTTAAAACATCCAAAACAGGTGGAAAGGTCTAAGACTATTGAAATGAACATACTTTAGGGTGCTATAGGAATTTGTTACTTCTATAGTTATTAAACTGTTCTCACATTTTTTTTTCTCTCAGAATGAATATCATCAATGACATGCTGACAATAACAAATGCCTCCAGAGATCAAATACAGGTATTAGTCATTTAACCTTTAGGACACATGTAATACATGTTCATCAGAATTCATAAATGAACATAATGTATATTTGAAACAATAAATACACACAAGTTCATAGGATGTAAAATGTAAAACAACACAGTGAATAAACAGTACAAGATTTAAACAGTTGTTTAATAAATTCTGCATTTTTACTTTGATTTTGTTTGTCTGTGTTTGTAGAAAGCCTTTAAGCACCCTGCCCCTACCCCCTCTTCTAGCCCTGTCCCTGAGGCATCACCCCCAGCCCCGTTCACACAGGCTGGCCCCTCCACATACACAGCCGAGCAGCAGCAGATGATTCAACAGTTTGCAGCTCAGTCAGGCATGAACCACGAATGGTCCATCAAGTAAGTTGTTTATGTCCTAATCAATAAAATTTGTAAGGAACCTCTCGGAAGTGCCAGATTTACTGATTTTCTTTTTTTTTTTGTTCTTTGAAAATTTCCATTTATTTTTACTGCAATTAGGATTTTGTTTATTGAGCATCAAGCTTATTATTCAGTTGTTAGGACTATTTCCCAAAACTTTTTATATACATGTATGTTACATCAGTATATTACAAAACAAAATTTTATTGTCATTTTTTTTCTTTGCAGATGCCTCGAACAAAATGGTTGGAATTATGAGAAATCTGGAGAATATTCCTGCAATTTGGAGGCACAATATATAATATTTGTGCCTAATCACACCAATTAAGTTTGTAGTCAATTTTGATTCCCACATGCTGAATTTATCTTGTTTGGAAAATAGTGCATATATTACCATGTTTATGAATAAGCAAACATTTAGCAGCACAAAAGATCTTAAAGTAAGATTACTGCTAAAATAAGTGTGTTTACAGTATATCTACATATGTACAATGTATTTATGGGTTTTTGGATTGTAAAGGTGTTTCATTTCCCCTTTTCAGAAACAAAACAAGATTCCTCCAGATGCATTTGAAAAATATATTCCAGTTTCATGCAAATGGACCCAATAATACTGAATTCTCAAAATCATTTGGAATAGGCTCAGGATAAGCCAGTTTTTAAGTGCATTGATCCAATGGTGATTCCTCCAAGTGTTGACAGGGAATTGACCTCGAGACTGTGTGGAACCCTGATTTTAAAAATTTTATTTATTTTAAGAAACACTTTCGGGCATTGACAAGTGGACTATTATAAATCCTTTTTTTTTTTAATGTACAGTTAAAGTGGAGAATTTGAGAAGGATTAAAAATCCTCTTTTACATTTTTTTACTGTGAAATAACATTGTTTATTTGCACTTGTTAATCATAGAAGTAAAATATTGTGAAATGAAAAGTGCTCATTCATTTTTATTTTAAATTTTATTTCTATTGCAATTTGCTTTCTGAAAAAATACTTTTTAAAAAAATTATTTTTTAATTTTATTGAAAATTTCATCATTGTTAATAAAAATGAAAGTATTGTCATCTTCTCTTTTCATGAAGCAAAGGCTTGGTGTTTTAAAGGGGGGGACCATGTCCAAAAGTTTTGTGTGAAATTTTCAAAACTTTGATATTTCTTTCCTGACCACATGCTCTTTTTTTTACTATTAAAAACAATACCTTTATATGCTTATTTTTACACAGGAGCACGTGCAAAAACAGTGTGAAATGCTAAAAATAGATTATTTTCAGACATTTTTTTCTACGCAAAATATGCCTAAAAAGAGCCAAAAAATGTCAAATCATATCAAAATCAAAGGTTTTTAATTTATATGACTTGTTTCTTTAAAATGAAGTCAAATTCTTGTAATTCATCTAGTATAAAAATTATAATGGAGCACAATGTAAGTATCACCCTTTTTTCTTGTTATTTTTTTTACATGCATAACAGGTAATACTTAAAAGTCTTTGTGTGAAAATGTTGTAATTCATATTTTTTGAAAAAATATTCATCTCTTTATTTTAACAAAGAAAACATATACCTTTATGATAAAAAAAAGAAATGTGACGTTTTCTTTTATTTTCGTCCTTGTGCCATAAATATTGCCCTTTTCTGCACAAAAAAAGGGGCAAGAAAATGACAAACATCTTAATATGAAAATATTTTGCGAAAAACGAGTATTTTTTTTTGTTTAAAAAAATTTAAACAGATTAATTTTTTTTTTTTATTCCAATCATTATCCCCCCCCTCATTATCCCGTAAACATCCAACACCTATTAGAACATGGAATGACTTTATACATGAAATCTACATTCACTATAAATCAATAAGCAAATATAGGTATAAGTACATTTTTTTTTTTTTCTTATTTTATCCAAAAATACAATTAATGGTAAACATAAAATTAAACATATTTCCATTTTTAAGCCGTTTTTTTTGTATTTTTTTTTACTTTTGCACTTATTTTCAGCATATCATCGAAGTATTTCTTCACAACTGAAATGGCTATGAATTATCAACCAAAAAGAGAATTCTAATATTAACAAATTTCATAAATCAAATAAAATTGGTATTAATAATGAATAAATTTTCTTTTTGTAAATGGTGTACGTTATTGATTATTATTACAATGGTATGCCTATATCACAGCTGCAAAAGTCAACAGGTAAAAGAAACGTCGCTATTGTGACGTCACATAACGCTTTTTCAAAACCAAAGGGCCCCCCTTAAAAAAACTGTTTTTGTGACAATTGAGTTTTACTTCAAATTATTAACATGTCAATTATAAAAAAAAACCTATAAATTATAACCAGGCATATAATGAAAGCACACTTCTGCAAAGTAAATTTTAAAAACCATGAATTGTCATAATTTAAAAACCAGGAATTTTTTTCAAACATTTAACATTACATTGGTAGAGTAGTTCTGAAAATGGAAATAATTGGGGGGTATCAATATAAAACTTTTAAAGTTACATACACACAAAATTGAAATGTTTATGCACTATAGATGAGTATGTTGCCAAAAAGGCGAAGACATGCTAGTTAAGCACAAAATCAGATGATGGTTAGATATACAATGAAAACCTTCCAGTCTTAAAGATAACATTTTATTACCTGTTATTTGAAGTTGCCTTAATATACTGCCTCTGGGGAAAAATTTAAAAAAAGAGGTACTAAACACTTGGCTCACAATACCTGCTCTACTTAATGTGTATAATTGGAAAATCCCTTTTTTGCTGTGGGAAACCTAATACTAGTAAAAGTCACAACAGAACATAAAACAGGAAAAGAAGAATGGTACTCTGTATGTAATAAAGATTCTGTGAAAGTCTCATTTAATTTTGTTCATTATTATAGGAATTGATAGAATAGGTTCCCCAGTGTTAAAAACAAAAGGACAAACCATATTGCTGGGACCCAACCCACTTTTTAAACGGGGGGTGGGGGATAAGAACACATTGTCCTGCATAAATTCCTTAAACATACTTTTTACATGTGGGTTTATATAACAGGGAGTAGCTGGGAGATTTGCTTTTTCAAAATAAGTTTCCAGATTTGTTACTGGTACAGTATTTTTTTACATCATAACATACTCTACACTAAAAATTTAAGGTCTACACTCTACAAGTCAAAAAAAACTCAATGGTAGATAAGTTTATACATATAAAAGATAAGCCTTCAATCTGTTTTCATGTTTTTATTGACAGTTGTTGAACTAAAAAAATAAAATGATGCAATGTACAAGTGTAAATGTCATTATTTACTGCCAGAGCCAATAAAATCATGAGCACGAAGTAATGATTTAGTGAGCCAATAAATCACAATGCCAAAGGGGTGTTTACTGTTGTAGTTGACCTCCTTCATATATTTTATCTATTTGAAGTTGGGAAAGCCCCAATATTTCCCGGATTCACGTTTGACTTGGTTTAATGATGGAATTTCTGAAAATAAGCAATGAAAAAACTGACAACAGTACTCACTTCAGGTTTTTAGATTTAAAATTGAAGGCAAAAATCTTGATTGAAAATAAAACAAGGGGCAAAAAGAATTTGAAATTACATCTACTGGTAAATCAAATTTATCCATGTAAAAAAAAAAAAAACGCAAATATCTTGTTGAAAACAGCTAGCCCGGTATAATTTTTCAAAAATTTATACAAAATTTACTATTCATTTATTTCATTTTCAATTTTTAATCCCCCCTTTTTTCTATGTAAAATTTGTCGAAAGTATAGAATGTTATTAAATATGAACAAATTACAAATCAAAAGAGTAAATCTTTCCTTTGAAAAATAATGTACTTACATGAGAAACCTTTGGAGCCAGACAGGACAATGTAAGGGACTTCTCTGTTCTCGCTTATCCTTAAACATGTTCAGTGTACCAAGGGGCGGTTTTGGAACTCATCTGCTTCATCAACTGTAAACCCAGATAAAAAGAAATTTCAATAACAGCAGACATTCAGTATTTTGAATGTTTTATGTATTTTAAACACTAGGGATTTGCCAAACCACTTTAACCTATTAATTTTGGGGCAACTTTTAAAAACTTCAACAATGAAAAATCCTCAAAATTTCCCCAAAATCATTCATATTCAAGATAATGAAGTTTGAAAGATTAGTCCTTTTTCAAAATGTTTTTCCGAAATAGAAGATAATGTACGATTTAGTCACTCTGGTAGAATCATGCTTCTTGTGAGCATATCCAACTAAAATTTTATAACATGTAAAATTTATATGAACACGTACAAAATATGTATACCACCTAATTATAAAAATTCCTACAACCATAGGAAATTACCTGTTCCTCCTGTAGTTTTTTAGTTCGTTTTTCTGTTTTCTTTTTTCCGAGCCCTTTCCCCCCGGAACCGTGAGACAGCTGTCTGAAGGCCTCCTTCTGATTTAGCAGGTGCCCCCCGTCATCCACGTATTCCAGTTTGACGTCCGGTTTATATCCCTCCTTCTCCTTGAAGTCCTGTGTCAGCCCTCCCCCTCCACTGTATCGGTCCCTCTTTCTGCTGTATTTCTCGTCTAAGTCACTGAAAAA